CAGCAAGCTAGTTCTGGATTAGTTTTTCTAACACTTTCTGCTAAAACTGAGTACATCACCTCAAGTCTCCTCATCCCAAAGGGAGAAGGTAGGCTTCCTGTCTCAGATCCCCAGGCACGCTCTCTGCCAACTTCAGGAAAATCCACAGCTTCTGGTGCATGGAGGCATGTAGCAGCATCAGTGTTGACAGTGCACTGCGGCCAGGTGAGCCCTCTTCTGTACCAGCAGGGCTGGTGGTCATACATTTCAGAATCAGGGTCATGGTGATCACCAGGCTGCTGTGGATGCACAGTTGAAGCAGAGTAACAGCAAAAGGAGCAGAAAAAAATTACATAAGTGATGTCTGCTTCCACCTACAAAGAAGCACTGTCCTTTCATCTTGATTCAAGATTCTGCTCAGGGTAATCTGGGGCTTTACCATCTCCCGAGAGAATTTCTGTAATCCGGGTTGACAGCAAAAGGAAGCGAGCTTCCTCACACAGGGCCTTGCTCCTCAGCTGCTTCCCAAGTCAGCTCTGTTTTCTGCCATTTCCCAGTTCATATCCACGGCAAGATCTTGGGTTCAGTCTGTAAAGTGTTAGTGAATCATTTATGAGCTACATCAGGATCTTCCTATCTACTATTGATTCTCTGAGACTACTCTATCCGTACAGGGCACTGCTAACTAACCAAGGCCAAAGACTCAGCTTGTAGCTGCAAGACATAAAGCATTGCTAGCTGGAAGTTCGGCTTTGGAATCAGCTGCTGGCAGAGGCACGAGTGAAATGTTCAGTCAAGAGGTTAAAACCTGCAGAACGGCAAGATGTTCTCTGTGCACCCTAAAACCTTGCTAACTGATAAATTCTCCCAACCCTTCACTTCCTCAGTTTCCTGCTCCAAAACTCACTGTTTTTATTTCTTGCACAAAGGAGAGAAGTGGTTCGTTCATGATCAGCAGGGGTTTATTTGCGGGGCTGGGCTCAAGGTGTGCTTCTGTCAGAACGCAGATCGTTGGGATCAGCCTAAGCTCCTTTCCTGTCTTACCTCTCCTCACATTTATCCCACCTCAGCATCTTTGTGGGCGTGCTAGCCAACACGAGCTTATTTTTTTCCTTTCCATTTAGAGTATCGTTCCTTCTCTCTCAGCTTCAGCCCCTAACTCACTCTTCTCCAGCCTGTCATCTGCTACTATTACCCAGTTGTACACACAGCACAGCTTAATCATAGTAATATATTATGCCTCTGTGTGCGTTTTTCCACCCCTCTGGGTATTTACAAGATAACTGTGAGTTGAAGAGCAATTTGGAAGACTAAAACTGTTGGTAGACCACACAAAAGTATTTGACAGAAAGATGACGCCTTTCCTTTAGCCAGCTGGCAGCTTGTGATCTCTCAAAACAAAGTTTATTGCTATTTATTGCTATAATAAACTGCAGAGTTCTAAGATACATTAAAAAGGTAAAAACTGTTACATCCAAGTATTAGATAACAAGTGTCTGATCACAAACTAAATAACGGAAGTACTGAAGTTCTATGAGTCTATGATTCTAAGTTAAACATTGAGTAACTGAAATTCACTTTGTTCTTATAGAATCATAGAATGGTTTGGGTTGGAAGGGACCTTAAAGATCATCTGGTTCCAACCCCCCTGCCATGAGCAGGGACATCTTCCACTGGACCAGTTTGCTCAGAGCTCCATCCAACCTGGCCTAACGCTTCCAGGGGGGGGCCAGCCACAGCTTCTCTGGGCAACCTGTGCCAGTGTTTCACCACCCTGCTAGTGAAGAATTTCTTCCTAATAGCTAATCTAAATGTGCCCTCTTTTAGTTTAAAGCCGTTCTTCAGCTAGTTCAGTGTGGATCATCTCCAAAAAAAAAGGAATGCGCTAAAAAACCTCCATCATGCTCTTTACTTCCTAATATTTTTTATTGAGCAGATTCATAACATGGAAAGTATTGATTTCTCGTTCAATAATTTAGAAAATTATTTCTATAAATCCTTTGAACCACACTGAGATATCTGAAGATGTGGCATACAGAACTGTAAAGCCAGAGGTTTAAATTAATGAGTCAAAAAATTATCATATTATATTATTATAATTTTAGGACTTTAAAAGATTTTTTGTTATTGGTTCATTCTACAGGAATTGAGATTTAAGTCCTTTCAGCCGTGGTTGACAAAAGGATATAAGCAGGAACCTGTGTTCCAGATTGCCAGCATTGTTCCTCCATTTTGAACTAGATTTCACAGGCACTTAAATCTTGTCATTAAAGTTTTGCTTCCTTCTACACATCTGCTTTGGTGAAGCACCTCTGTCTTCAAAGGGTGGAGGAGGTTCAGCTTCTCTTTTCAACCTGTGTGGGAAACTCCATGTTTCCATAGATAGATGAATTGCAACCCCTTTCTTCTCTGAGAAGATGTGATTTCTGGGTAGTGTTCTCTGAGCATGAAATGTTTGAGCATGGTGGAGAGGCCACCACCCCTTTCCTTTGAAACACAAAGGGAAGGAAAGGTTGTTATCCCTTAATTTGTAGTGAGGCCACTTGTCCAAGATGGGGAAGCCCTGAGTGCAGACTTCAGCTCTTGTTTGGCTAGGTGGAAAAAACAGTGCTTCGAGGGATAACTCAGAGATGTGCTTCATTAGTGAAGAAAATACACCAATTCTTGCTTTTCTTTGTTTCCTTTTGCATGCTTAGGTGATTTCCTGCTCAGCCTTTCGCATTTTGTAGGTCTGTTTGGAGGTTTATATGCAGCATGTGTTGTTCGTGGAAAGAAGAGTGTCTACCTGCAGGTTGTGGGGGACAGGGGCCTAAATTCTGGTGTGAATCTCAACGCTTTGGGCTCATGATGTGAGTCACAGCCTCAACCTCAAAAATGAAAAATTAGTAGGTGTATTGAGATTACAGCATAAACCAACAACATAGGCAAGATAAGCATATACAGTTTTGAATATTAAATCCCAGCTGCACAGAAGGAACTGCTTTTGTGAAATTAGTTGCTTTCCCTGATATGTTTCCTCGTTAGACGATTCCCTCTGCCATAAAAACCTTTGCTGCTTGTGCCAATGAATGAGGTTAATCTTCTAAAACCTTTAGCACGCTACCTGCAACAGTACAACACCAAAAATAAATAAATAATCCTACCACATAGTTCCCTGGTTTCAAACTTCGCAGATTCAGGGTTCACTAAGAAGTCATCTCTCTTTTTCCTTTAAAAGAAGACAACCGTATAGAATAGTAAGAGTTCTCTGTCTAGCATACAAACCCATCTGGAAAGAATTTAGTCTGCAATAATTGTGGGCATTTGATTTAGCTTTAAATCCCTGTAGGTAATTCAAATGTAAATTTATTGGGGTGAGTTTATCCCCAAATCACCATTGGATCCAATGTTTTAGAGATGAATTTGGCCCACTGCACTAAAACTAGAGCCTGCATTGTTTCTGTTGCATCAGGATATTATTACATGCTGTAATATCTGTTGTTATAAGCAGACCTTTATTAGAAATAAAGTCAATAGAGACAATACCTGAATCACATTTATTTTCGGACCTTTAAAGATTCGTAATTCTTTGGTTATGAATAAGTTTATAGACTGGTATCTAAATCACTCAAACAACACTGGTCTGATGCATTATTCTGTTATTCTGTACTCATCTGAGATAGTCTTTTTGGTTAAGTAAAATTCTTTGCATTTCATATTCTGCTTCAGAAAAAAAAAGTTTCAAGAGGCATTCAGCACATAATGTAAACAATGCCATCTGTCTTTTTCTTTGTAAAATCTTCTTTGAGATAGCCCCAATATGCCTACTGTTTTCAATCACTTAAAAGGCAGTAATTTGATTATATCATCCTCTATGTAGGAACTGCCATTGCTTTCAGTCCACTTCCAATCCTGACACAAGTAAATCACTTTGATAAGATCCCCCTTTTATTTATTTTTTTTCTGAGGAGACTAGCATAAGTAATGATGCCAGTGATAGACCAAGGACAAAATGACCATAATGTGCTTTCTGTAAGAAAGGAAAACATATGCCATTGTGATTTATTGTGTTACTTGGAAAATGTTTTTCCTTTGAATTTCTGCAACAGCCATGCTCTCTGAGGGAAGGGCATTAGCAAGTGTGAATGGCCAAATGGTAAATTCAGACAAAACCTTCAGTGGGCAGCAGATTTAAACAGCTATCACTACCTAGATTTCTTAAATGGGAACAGAAGGTCAAAGCCATTTTGGAAATGTGCCTCGGTCGTATTCATCTTTGGTATAATGCCACCTACTTAGAGGGAAACACGCTGGGAATGTGTAAGGTTGGATCTTCCTTACAAACTTCTATGGCTTATCATGTAGATATGCCTTCCTTCTATTTAAAAATTGTTTGGGTGACTTCAGTGCTTTGTACCACCAGCAAGGCAGGGGCCTGGCAGACACATCTAACCTCCCAGAATAGACGTGGCAGGAGATCAGTAGTATCTGTAGACTTCCTGCTACAAACTGGCCTCGACTCTGATGCTGGGAGAGCGTGGTTAGAGTTGAGCTGTCTCTGGGCACATCTATCTCTTGCCTCTGATTTCAGAAAAATGGGAGAGCACTAGATGAGGTGGTTATGTGTGATGTGAGAGCCTGTTTGAAAGGAGATGGACCACAGGTGTCTCTCTGAACTCAGACTGATCATTCAGCACAAGCAACCCCCGAGCTTGTGTTTTCAAATTTGTGAAGACTGCTGGTCTTACATTCACTGTCTGAGACCACATCCAGGAAACGCAGTGGGAAGTTCACTCAACTTTGCTGAAGAAGCAGTACCACATAGGTAAGAGGCGATCAGCAACGTTAAAGCGCCACAGGCCAAGTTTGGCTTTTCCAGTAACATGCTATGAGGTAACTCTTTTGTTAAGTAATTTTGGAGAATCTGTGTGAGAAAGCTGTGACCTGGATAGCAAGATGGCAGCATGCTCATTGTATTTAATCTAATGAATCAGGAGGCTGTTCAGGATGTTATTGATATGGTAGGGTGTTTCCTTTCACAGAGAAAGCGTGGAGAGCCTCATCCAAAAGCATTCCTACGCCCGATCCCCCATTCGAACCTATGGAGGAGAAGATGATCTTGGAGATGACAGCCAGGCAACACAAAGCAGAGGTAGGAAAATGTGCTCATGAGGTAAACTGTGGTGACCTAGTCATGCTTGAGAAGGAGAACCGCAGTCAGTACTGTAGTACTCTGAAGCATTTCTCTGGTGTGCCTCGCTGCCACAAAGTACTATAATGAAGAAGAATACTTGTTACCTTAGGGCTCTTCTGGACATCTGACATGCCCGTGGAACAGGTGTGGGTGGCTAGCTCAGGAGGCAGCTCTAGAGATGCCTCTGCAGCCTTTGCAATCAGTTGAGAACTGTTTCTGCTTCCTCTTCAAGACGGCTGGAAACCACGCAACTTCATTACCGTGGTGCTGAGAACAAGCTAACGCTCCCCATCCCTTGGCAGGACTTACTAGCTGGGGCTCAGCACCATTTGTAAAATACCATGTAGATGTGTCATTTGCTGACCCTCCAGCCTTCTGTGAACAGAGGAGTTGGTTCTGACCATCTTCACTCAGCCTATGGTTAACCTGTTTTGCCTCTACAGGAAGAAAAGTCCATAGGTCCCTGGAGAACTGATGTTTAATTGTTATCTCTCAGTCTCTAAGAGGTGTTTTTCCTGCCGAGGCAATTCACCTCAAATGCTTTATCAAATGGTTTGTCTACCTCAGCAGTCGCAAAAGTAGTAGCAAGACAGAGTTGTTCTTTGTGGAGATATTCACTGGACAAATTGCATCTGTCGCAATTTGTTACTGGAAATATATCTCAAACCCATCCTGTGGGATCACGGACTAGCGTAAACTTGTGTTGCATTATACTTTGCATGTTGACTTCGTGACCTGCCTGATATGCAACAGCCACTTGAGGTAAAGCAGTTCTATCTGCCTTCCGACTGGCAGTGCCCTTGTCTTGCCCTCTAACTTCATACAGTGTAGCTAAGATAAGAGTATTATTTCTGGTCATAAGCTCTTTGGACTTGCGCAGGGAAAACATGCTTATTTTTAACCATGAGTTGCTCTTCAACAAAATGTGATTAGGTGGGCTTGTTCGTACACGTCTATTCTAAGAGCAGTTCCTTAGACTGCAGAGTTTCTGGAACAACTCCTTAGCTGGTACGATGCCATCCTTTCACATACTTCTGGGGGATTACCCCACTTTATGTCAGCTTAGATCCTAGGCCAGTTATTGTTGAAGACAGTGTTGAATTTTCCCTTGCCAGAAGGGCTCAGAGCAAGGCACTTTCCCTCCAAGAATTAAATTTCTCCCTAGTGTGACGTCCTCCTTAGGGAGCGACAAAGTGAATGAGGTGAACCTCAGTATGAGAAGTGGCTCCTAGAGCCTTTTTCTTCTGAAGAGAATCCAGAGGAAGGTGTCATAAGAGGAAAGAATAGTTTATTAGAATTAATTTTATGCATAATATATATAGGGTACATTTCTGCATTTTCTCACAATACGGCAAAGCAGTAAGTGAGGAAGACGACGACTTGTGGCAACCAACTTTTTTCTAACCTGGAAGCCACATGCTAGCATAGGACATGATTGTTCTGCGCAACCAGAGGCATGCACAGAGCGTAGAACGTACTGCTCTTGTAGATGAGTAGCCGGTACTGCCTCCACTCTCTTTATAGATCTGGTGTCCTTAAATAAGGAAAAGTCCTCCAAGATATGAGGAGATCATGACCTTACTGAAATTCCAAAGACATTTTAATTTAATCTGATGCATTCTAAAACTACCTTACATGCAAAATGGAGGGATTTACTTCCATACATACAAGAGTTGACAGCCAAATAGATACACATTGCAGGGTGGTGTGTATTGTAAGCTCTCTGAGGCCTCGACTGCCTCAGAATTACCAGAGCACATTTCCTTGGTGTTGGCAAATGTGGTATGAGAGACTTTTTGAAGTACTAAGTTGCAATTAGAGACCACAGCAGTTGGAGGGTGAAAGGGCGCTTATGGAGGTTCCTCATGAGGCTCACAGAATGATAAAATAGTTTGGGTTGGAAGGGACCTTTAAAAGTCGTCTAGTCTGACCCCCCTGCAATGAGCAGGGCCATCTTCAGCTAGATCAAGTTGCTCAGAGCCCTGTCCAACCTGACCTTGAATGTTGCCAGGGACAGGGCATCTACCACCTCTCTGGGCAACCTGTTCCAGTGTTTCACCACCCTCATTGTAAAAAAGTTCTTCCTTATATCTAGTCTAAATCTACTCTCTTTTAGTTTAAAACCATTACGCCTTGTTCTACCACCACAGGCCCTGATAAAAAGTTTGTTCTCATCTTTCTCATAAGCCCCCTTTCAGTACTGAAAAGCTGCTATAGGGTCTTCTCAGAGCCTTGTCTTCTCCAGGCTGAACAACCCCAACTCTCTCAGCCTCTCTTCATAGGAGAGGTGTTCCAACCCTTGAACATTTCATGACCATTTATGAGAAGGAATCACATACTTTATTCTGTGTAGAACAAAGAAAGCCTATCACTGCTATTTATGTCTAATTACTTCTGCACCCATCCAGAGCATTCTTGGCTCAGCCAATTTCAGCCATCTAAAGATGGAAGTGGCTGGCCTTCAGTAATATATTTATGACAAGGAGTCTGTTTCTAAAGGAATTAACAGATATGAAATATATAAATCCAACTAAAACTTTCATGCACATTGTCTGGGTGCCTGTGCTCCAGTATCCACACACAGGATTCACAGTAGCCACCTGGAACAGAGCCAAATGTAAACCTTCTAGGCAAGTCCAGATTCGCATCCCACTTTCCCCGTACTGTAATAATGCTCAGATATCCCCTGATTTGTAAAGGGTTTCGCTCTCATCTGTGAATGTAGTGTTGTCCTTTTCGTTTGGCTCTGGATCCCAACTTCCCAGCAGTTTGGGTTAGGTTCAGTGGTAGGGCCAGGGTTTGGTTCAAGGCAGTTTCTACCGCTGAATCAACAGAAATTCTCTTTCCTGTTACTGGGCCATTTTACTTGTTTCATTAAGCAGAGGAGGAATTAATCAAGAGTAGCTCTCTTTCTGATTTCAGAATATATCCCTAAAGAGAGCTATGATTTTTTAAAAATACTAATTTGCATTTTTTCTTTCTGTTGCTGTTTGTTTATAGTTTTGTTTTGAGTATGTGGCTACATTTGGTTAGAATACATAATTCCAATAAGTTTACCTTGACAGATAGAGGTCTTCATATTTTTTTCTTTTCACGATTTGGCTGAACCTATCTTCTAGAATCAAATTTATGAAACTTGTACCTGTTGTAAAATTTATTGTCTCAGAATGTTCTGCAATATTGGCTCAGAATTATATTTTATCAAATATTCTTGCCAATAAATTTATTACTTAACATAAGAAACATTTTCTCAATGGTCAAAGTTGGACAAGAAAGAAAATACAGAAGTGACATGAGTTGAATTATTGTTTGAATACGAATAAAAATTAACAGTTTATTTGTGGGATTTTACTGTATTCCCCCTTTCTAGAAATCAGACATCTGATGATGACCAGATGCACAGAGGAACTGCAGAGGTGAAGGGCAACACTGTCACCAGATTATGTGAAAATGACCATGTATAATTATCCAAACAAATTATTCATTGTTTCCCAAAAATTTTACTGTCAAAATAAAATAAGTAATTAGTTCTAATTTATAG